TAACCAGCTGAAAGCTTTCACTAAAGGGTGGTGAAAAAAGAAGCTGTCACGAAATGTGGTGTATAGACAGTAAAAAGTATGTGCAAGCTCAGATTAAAAACAGATTCAATTTTTCAAAAAAGTAATGGATTGTTAAATGGTGTAAAAGTAGTAATTTAGCTAGAAAAAGTGGATAATGGTGAATTCAGTGTAGTAGATAAATTCATTAGTTAATGGTTAAAATAGCCGAGGATAAATAGTGGACATGTTTACTAAATGTAATTCTTAAAGGCTAAAAAGGGCTTAAATTAATGAATGGCTAATCTGCATAAGTGTGTAGCTTCTGTCACTCCAAGTGGTAGAATTAATTCAACTTGGAGCAAACTGACATAACAGTTCAACTGTATGAGCAATTTACTTTATCAATATCCAATTTGACCACCTTCTGAACATGAGATGTGGGTTTGCTACGGGGCTGTGGAGTTCCTCTAACAGGGTTGTCGGGATCAGATGTTTTTTGTCTGACGTACCCCTGCTGATCTGAACCATTTTGTTTGGTGGTGGTAATAATGCGCCTAATGACAATAATTCCTCATTGTTCAGACAGACCATGGTCTATTATAATGTGCAGCAAATTACCCCAAAAAAGTGTTTAACAAATTAAAATACATTCTCTCCAATCTGTAAATGTATCTAAATCAGCAATTAAAATAGAGTTTAGTGTGGTTAAAAGAGGGATGTCATTATTATTATTGTTAGTATTACTATTATTGTTGTTGTTAGTATTTTACTTTTTATTTTTTGCAAAATAGGCCTGCTGAACTTGAGCACAACCACATGATCTCCACAAACATAAACACAGCTGCCTCTGGCATGCTGCATGGTGCAACACTCCGTATGCTCCAGACAGTCAGATTTTGTGGTGAACTCCAGTCAGTTTTATTTATTAGACCAATATGACAAATGACATGGTTCCCTCAAGGGTTTTTACAGTCTGCGCAGCATATGACATCCTCTGCACTTAGACCCCTCGATTTGGACAAGCAAAAAATACCACAGAACAAAACCCTGAGCAGGAAGAGAGGGATCCGTCCTCGAGGACAGATTCTATTGAGTCACGGCGGTCCCACATCTGGGACTGCAGAGACATGAGCCTCGATATTCATCGTACTCAGTGCACACAATAGCAAGCTTCCTGACCACTTCTGCCATTAAAACAGGGGCTCATGATCGGGAAGCGACAAAATCTCTTTTTAGAAAGCTGATGTGCTGCTTTAACACTGGGCCCAGATGTGTTCTGTTGCCTCAGACTAGTTCCATAGACTTACTACAGTATGCCACTAAATGGATCTACATTCACAATAATTTATCAGGGATTCTCTCTCAGGTGCAGAGACTGAGTGTCGTATCTCTAGACATTGTTTGCATACATCCAGTTCCCTTGTAGTCCTCCAAGATGGTGCGAAAAACTAAATAAAAGAAAGACTGACCAAAGCAGAAAGCCTCTGAAGGGAAGCAGAGCGCAGCTGAGCCTCATCACCAGTCTGGCCAGCAGCCATCCCACTGTTGGGCCTCTTTCCTCTCTCCTCCCATCACAGTGTCTTTGTGTCTGAGAGGCGAGCTGGGATCACTGAGGGCTGGAGCCTCTTACAGAAGCCCCACCTTTCCCTTCTGGCATAAAAGACAATCAATAAGAAGCATTTTTCTTCATCTCCCTCTCCTGCTAGCTTTGTGAGAGACCCCCTGCCTGCAGGGCTTCCTCCACCTTCCTTCACCGCTTCATCCCAAATCCATCCATTCTCAGATGCGTATCTTTAGCCTTCAGCCCAGAGGCCAAACCGCAGCGAGCATGCTTTGTCTCCACACTTGACTTCTTCCCTGGTCGAACCCATTTCATACTCTCATCTCTGTAATTTTCTACATTAATTATTCAGGCCCTTCCAGCCTATGAATATAAATCCATTATGTCTGCCCTGCTACACTCTGCTTCAATTAAGAGACTGGGGATGAAATTATATGGAGGGATGGCAGATCATCAGATTAAAGGATTCATGGAACCTCACATCACTTTAAAATATTTATGCTAGCTATCCAATGCAGAGATACACACATATAGTATAAGTAATTACCTAATGGCTACTGCGATACTGTTCACCTGTCATGTCCCAGGTAGGGCTTCAAGTCTATGACTCTACTATGGACTTTCTAATCATTTTTCAGCCTTGCACTTGAACCATAAACGTAGGCTTTCCTCTCACGGAACATTCCTGTGCTCATCTTGTGGAGTTTGATGATGACTGCTTTTGTGGCATTGTGTGATATCCAGCTGGAGGCAGTCCTGTTCCAAAGAGAACCTGGCTACAGATGGATACACCTGGTCAGCAGCGGTGAAGGGCACACTGCCATTCAAATGTGACTTGACTGGTATTAATAGGGTCAGTGTGTGTGTAGAAAACACCACACATTAGACTGTCATTAGACTATCAGCCTTTACCTTTGGGACACTGCAAGATGGAGGCAATGATTCATGCTGTTTACGACACATTTGGACCCAGTTGCTAGTGTGTGAAGAATCACAGGCAAGACAACAAAGACAGCCTCAGCATAAAATTATAAATGTATCTGTTGTACACTGATATCACCATTCCTCATTGATGTATAATATAATATTAAAAACAAAAGAAAAAAAACCCACATATTTTAAACCTTAATGACCAGTACTGTACCTAAAAACACTTCAAAGAGTTCACTGTGGAAGCCAATAGGGGACGATATTAAAACAGTGATGTAAAGTTGTGAATAACAAGGAGCTGGTAATTTCTATCAAAACAAAAAATACAAATTAAAAAATCAAATGCTGTTTTCATTTTCATTTTGTGTTAGAAAATTGAACCCTAATTTTGTTTGTGCTTACAAAATCAGTTTAATTGTTTGTAATACATTTATACATTTAAATATGGTAAACTGTACAGTGGGGTGTGACTTTGACAATAACTGTCAAACAGCTTTTCCAAAAAAAAACACTCTTACCATTATGTAAACATGACAATGGATGTTAGATGATTAATCAAAAATCATATACATATGTAGAAAATTATAGCTATACTGTGGAATTACCTTTTCATTTTCAAGTTTACATTATCGTTTTTGTATATTCAGTTCCACAGTACATCTGCTTACTCATGCATGTCTTCAATCAGCTCTCATTTGTGGTTATTAAAGCCCTTCAGAAGTTGGCACCACTTCCTCCTCTGTCTCCACTGCTGCCTTGTGTTATGCCAGGAAAGGAGCTCTGAGTGCAGTAGGGTTTTATTAGTGAGCTATGATTAAGGTGCACATGATGACGTTCTTTTAAAATGCCATGTTTTTTCTTTTTGTTTTTCTTTCAGAACATTTTGTTAAAAAGATTACAGGCCCCATTAGATTGACTGGGTTTAAACAAACAAACAAAAACCATTGAGGTGGTTGGGAGCAGACATCTGATTTTCTGAACTAAAATGCACTTCTGAACATCATCTGGATTATGTTGCTTGGATTGCTGCTACTGAGACCAAACTTTGAATAAGTGACAGAAATTGAACAGATAGATGGATGGATGTCGTCAGCACTGATCAAAATATGTTTACATGTCCATCTAGAAGCCATATCAGCGATGGCCTCACTAGAAGATATCTACCATGTTGCTGTTTTTTTCCAATGTTCTGAAACATGTGTAACTGGCAACAACCACAGTACACTAGTTATAACCACATAAATGTCAGTGGATGTTCAGGAAGCAATCAAAATTCAGATACCCTCTAATAGCCTCTGTTGGATGTCAGTGCTGTACATGACATATGAAGAAATGTGTTGTTAGGACTTATTAAACTTCAATTTACACTTAAAAATGCAGATAAGGACTATGTGTATAGAAGAGCTACCCTGAGAAGCAAGCTTACCGATGTGACAATAACACTAACCACTGGTGTGTTTGCGAAGTTTGGGTTTTGCGTGGCATTAACTCCATCCAAAATGTCCTACATGATGCATTTACCCCATTTCTTACTGTTGTTGATTAGAAAGACAGAAGGTCCTGCAGTAGTGATGGAGGCTGCAGAGTAGAAGGACTTTCACCTTGGCTAACAGCGGGACCCATCCATAGCATACCAACATAGGCATCACAACACAAGTAACTCACCAGGAATATCCTCTCCAGCTGGTCCTGGATGTCCTTCATCCCAGGAAAGGCAGCCACTCCTTGGATCATCTCAATGAAAATGCAGCCCACTCCCCTAAAAGAGAGAATAACCCGTTCAACACTGGCTTAGTTAAAATGTTAATGATTTCAAATCCAGTAGTTTGTTTTAATTTGTCTATTTCTACACAATAAGCCAGTTTTTTTTTCTGTGTACACATCTAAATCCACAAAAAGCACAACACCAAGTGTTTAATCACCTCAACTAGTCTCAAAGTAAAAGTCATTCTGAGGGGGTATTGATTTTTTTTTCTTCTTCCTAATGGCTGTGAATGTAGAAAATCTTAGAAAATACCAAGTTCCACTGGGCAGAGAGGGAGAGTGAACGAGGTGTGTGTGTGTTGTCAGCGCTCATTTGTCAAAGGGCTATTGTTTTCTGACAGATTCACTTTCTGGCTCAGTGCACACTCCTTCTCAGAGCAGAAACACCAGCAATGCAAGGAGAGAGGGAGAGATTACCAAAAGTTCATCCCTCAAAACTTCTACATTCCCTCCATTTAATGGAATGAAAATGTGTCTTCTCTATGACATGACTAGAACCTCAACATCCAGTATTGCTGCTGGAGTGCAGTGAACCGCTCTGTTGATTAGGGAGGATATGTGAGTATGGTTAAAGGTCGGCTAGCGTCACAATGTTCTCTCAGTTTGATTAATACCCATAATTTTGTTTAAAATTGGATGGCACTGAAAACATGACCCTGATATATTATCAGCATTAAGGTTGTCTGTAAAAAGTAATTGTGATTGGATTAGGCCATTTACTGATGTAATGAGGAAATGTTGAAATATTTAGTAAGTTGACAGAATGTACTAATAACATTGACAATAAATGTTTTTCCGTCACAATACTACACTGTGCAGTACCATGTCTGCTTGTGATGGCCATTTGAGAAAGCACTTGGTAAAGGCAGTGGAAAGATCATGTGTAATACTGAAAATCTCTCCAGTCACTTCAGACACAATGTTTTTATTTACATGTAACCCTAAACCACAGATTGACGTCTGTGTCTGGAAGTGGAGCCCATTCTCCAGTGGAGAGTTTGTGTGACGTGTACATCCACCATCCACCCCTATAACCTCCTGCCAACTCCAGTGCAGTTCATAAATTGGAGGCTTCATTCATTAAACCATACAGTCTGTGAATCAGATTGTCAATATTAAGTACTGATGTTTGTTCAAATGTTCAAATGTATAAATAGCTAGCAAACTGAGTGCAAAACAAATCTATTGCAAAACAAGTAGTTGATATGTCCCTCAGAGCTTCAGTACAAGGTGACTGGACTTCTCTTCATGGTTCTTGAAGACATTTCATCTCTCACGCAAGAGGCTTCTTCAGGTTTTCTAGTTGATTTGTTGTTAGCTTGGGCTGCACAGTTGCACAGTAGCAGTGTTGTCCTGCAGCTCGAAGATCCTGGTTGGTGTCCCAGTTAGGACGCCTGGGATCTTTCTGTGTGGAGTTTGTTACATTCGTGTGCAGTGTGGGTTCTCTCCGGGTTCTCCGGCTTCCTCCCTCAGTCTAAAGACATGTTGAGATTAATTGGTGATTCTAAATGTCCGTAGGTGTGAATGTAAGTGTGCTTGTTTGGTTCTCTGTGAAGCCCTGTGATAGACCTTTGCCCTGAGTCGGTAGGCTCCAGTCCCCCAGCGACAGATGAATGTTGTTGGCTTGCTAGATAGTAGGCATTTACTAATTATTTTTTATCTATTTATATGATATTTCTATAGCAAGCCTCCACAACAGTCCAAAACTGCTAGGACAACTATGATAGGTCGAAAATAAGGTAACCAACTCAAGCTGGCATTACTACAGCGAGGGGCAGTTGTAGCAACCAGTGCATCTGACTGAGAATTCTAAGGCAGTATGTGCGACTCGCGAGTCCAGGGGTCTCCAATCCTGGTCCTCGAGGGCCACAGTCCTGCATGTTTTAGATGATTCCCTCTTCTAACACACCTGATTCAAACGATCAAGATCATTATCAAGCTTCTGCAGAGCTTGATGATGAGCTGATCATTTGAATCAGGTGTGTTGAAAGAGGGAAACATCTAAAACATGCAGGACTGTGGCTCTCGAGGACCAGGATTGGAGATCCCTGCACTAGTCAACAGCTAGCTACGACTTTAAACTTAGCGCGCTTTATTTGACTCTAAATGAAACCACAATTTACAGAATAAACATGTTGTATTGAAGGAGTTGTGAAACGAGTTGGACAACTCATGTTTACTGATGTGACAAGAAGAATCATTTTCTCACAGACTTCTATACATCATTCTTCTTCTTGCAACCAGAGGACTCGGTCCTTGCTGGTCATTTAACATGATGCAGGTTTAAGTCACTTGGCTTCACTTTTTAAACTCAGAGGGTGCGTCCATCTACTCTATGCTCCAAATGGAATCTAGTCACGATTACAATGCATCTGCATGTACTTTGGAAAACAGTTTAGATGTAAGTGTAATTTACTGAAGTCAGGATTGCTATTTTCACATCCACCAGACATGGAACAACATTCAGAGCTGTCAGATTGTCCTGATAAATTAATTCCAGTGTTCTCCTTTTACCATGCCATGCTCAGCAACACTTGAAAAATGGCAATTGGTTGTGTTTTAACAACAGATGCGGCCTGGTGCTTGCACAGAGATGTTTAGGCCTGACGTACAAGTGGTCATGTCCATTGTCAACACACAGGAGCAATATTGATAATAACAGCTCTGAAGACAAAATTCCACTTTCCCAATACATTTCTTCATCAGCTAAGGTGTGTTTTATGCTATCATAATTTTGTAATCCTGTCCACTCTGGTTTCCACCCCAGTTAGTCAGAAAACCACTACATTATTCAAGAAATGTGTGAAGCAAGTGATTCTGTTAAGGCACAGTATCAGTGCACCCTGAGGTATTTTGTAGAGAAAATTTCATGTACTTTTCACGGTTAGCTATTATTTATTTAGAGCTGAAGGGAAAACATAGTGGAAAGCCAGAAAATCTTTTTTAAAAAAAAAGAATTAACTGTATGCATGTACTTTTACATGCATGGATGCGGAAAAGTGCTGAAACAGTGATTGTGTAGTCAACGTTGTTATAGTAACATCTGATATCACTTTTATTTATCAAACAATATTTACATAATTCAAATACCATTGTTTTCCTCATTCTAATTCTATTCCTAGTGCTCAATGCAATTATTGTCTCTGAGCACACAGTATGTGTCTGCAATAAAATGTTTTAGCACTGCAGTTACTGTAATTAGACAGCGTTAGAGGTGCTGCGACTGCAGATCTTGGTGAGTCTGTCACTGAGGCCAGCTGTACTACATTAGTTTTAGTACACAGTAAATTAGCCTCAGTAAATACAAGACTGTTTCCTCACCGACATTTAATGAACCCTTCTGATAGCAGCAGACCGGCCTGAGAAGAGATTTGTGACAGGACAGGAAAGCAGACAAACAAATACATTTGAAGGCTTCACAGCGTTGCACACGATTCTGTCTCATGGCCATCCTTCACAACTTGGACACAAAAAAAGGAAATTCAAAAAAGTCTTTGTATCGTGTTTTAAAATGGTTAAATTCTTATTTTTTCTCACCAAAGAGAAGAAAAAAACTCTTGTCACACACCAGATGCACTCAGTTATTCTGCTTTTCTGGGGTAATTCATCTTGAGTTGTCTTCGTGAGGTGTTAACTCATTTGTCAGCTTCAGCTAATAAGAAACAGTGTGACTTGTGAGGCGCGCAGTGTGATTATTGAGTTTTAAGCATATTCAACTTGACTTTTTGACAATGTCTTGCCTATAAGAAGCTACACAGGCTGAAATCTACGCAATTTTCATACTAGAGTTAAATCTAAATAATTTCCCTTAGTGTCCTGAAATGTATGCTAATTTGTAATTGATTTTTTGGCTTGAAATCCGCCAGCTTACTAGTTATGCGTATGCAGCAAACATGAACATTCTTATTGACAATCTCCCGAAGAAGATATTCCATTTAATAACCTTTGGACTTCACGTTTTCAAACTGCCAATATTAAAGAACCATAAAGTAGATTACCCCCCTGCTGCAGTCTTCAAGTTCTATTTTATGGTAATATCAAATGTAAAGCAAGTACTGTGGTTTAGTATAATCTTGCCATACTTGTGGTCTACTTGTGTATTACATTTCATAGGAAAATACTGTAAGTTGATTTTGGTTGATAACATTCTAATATAATAATTAAATATGACATTGCAGACCTTTGGCTGAAGTCCCAGATTTATTTTCACCCAGCCATTGAAAGATTACGTTTTGTTGGTTTGGTCTTGTCCAGAAATGCTCTGACAGTAAAACAAGCACAGCAGCATTATTCTTTAAGATGAGGTCTTGCTGTGCTGCACACTATAACTAAACTTATACATTACTGTGTATTTGACAGATACAAGCGTTGACTTTGATTGACAAACGTGTGTCGCAGTTGCAGGTCTGCAAAATGTTGTGAAGGTACAAAAAAAAAAAAAAGAGCAATCCCTTGCCCATCTTTGATCAAATCCTTGCACCTCACAGCCTGTATTCTGCTGTGATGGATGCTTCTCATGGCAGGAAGACAGATCTGCACAACCTTTTGGTTCTGCAAGGGATGCTTCTTCATGGACGACTGCTTTCTAAGTGACCGAGGTGAACGTATGCGTGCATGTCACAGGGTGACTCTCAGTGGAATGGAACGACACCCTGTGGATTTGCCCACCTGCAAATACCCTTGAAGCAGACACACTATCCCTCTGCCTCCCAGACCCCCAAACCCCCAGTTGCTCCTTAATTGGATGCTGTAGAATGCAGCTGGGGTTCTTGGAATTTCCCTGCTGACTGCCTGTCCAGACAGAAGGGGTCACCACGGCTCAACTAACTAAGACCAAGTGTAAAAGTAGTTTTTTCCACAGCATTTTGATCTTGTATCTTGATAAAAAAAAACTGTCATTTTCTCCCTCAAAAACGGACTGTTTCTGAGATAGCTGGTCATTGTGAAGACACTGACTTGACATTGATGTGTTAGGATGTGAACGTTTGGGAGCTTTGTAGAAACTCCATCATATTGATGACAAAACAGTTTTTGGCAGCAGTGAAAAATTTTGCATTTTCTCAAACTAAACCCCAAAAATGAAGGACATCAGTAATAATGCTTTGTTCACTTCCTACCTGTTGCTAACTCCTAAAAACAGCTTGATTTCTGGTTGCTTTGTGACAGAGTCTAAACTCAACACAAGGTGAAGGCAAAAAAAAAAAGTTGCTTTTTTTTTTACCTAGACACAGTCCACATCTAGATGTGCAACATACACTAAAACAAGTAGAAATAGGAAAAGCACATGCAAAAAGAAAATGTCTACAACGTAAATGCTCCAGAACACGAGGCGGAGAGGTGGGCTCAATTTAGAAAAGCCAATGTTACATGGAGACATTTTCAAAACTGTTGTAATTTTAGTCATGGGACTTCTATTGTGCCTGTTTTTCAGGGGAGGAGTAAGATTTTACATATGGGGCCAGTATACACAAATAGCACCTCTTCTGAAATCTGTTCCAGTGTTTTCAGAGTTTGAGCAGCGAACAGCTTGACCCCTGAGACGAGCAGCAAGTGTTTTGGGAATTTACTGTTGATGTCCTGTCTAGATTAGGTGGTACTCTGCTGCAGCACCTTTTTTTTTGGTGGTTTTGTCTAGACAGCTATATTTGCAAAAACAAGGTGAAACCTGTGCTGTGTTATTATTGCACAAGAAGAGTTTGAAAGCTTAGATGTCTTCATAGATGTAGCCAAAGACTCCAGCACCAGTGCAGTGCAGAGGAGGTTTCCAGAAGTCAGAATATTTTTCTCCTTTACTGTTCTCATGTCATTAATCTCACCATACTATAGCTTTAGCTCCAGGTAGAAGCTTTCCATAATCCTGTTGTCATCATTGGGAAGCAACATTTAACTTTGGAGTGCAAGTGAAACAGAAGTAAAGAACACTAAAGAGTCTCTTTCCTAGAGAGGGAAAGGATTCCTCCACCTCTGCAGCAGTTCTACTCAACTTCATATAAAGTCCAAGATGAATCAGATAAAGCTTAATATAGTTAAAAATATCTGCATCAGCATCAAATATTAACATCCAGGAGAGATTATCAGTGGTCATGATTCAACTTCACATGAACTGAGCCTCAGATGAACCAATTTAATCACAAAGTGTGATTTTTGTTCTTATGTCAGTTTAATTCATTACAACTTGCATTTTCTTTTCTTGTTTCTTTAATAACTTGCTGTACCACTATATCATGGGGAAAAACTGTGCACTATTGAACATAACCAATAAGGTATTGAAAAACATATACTGTTGAAAAGGCCACACTTTCTCGAACGAAAGAATAACTTTGTCAACAGATGGAAACAGATGAAAAATGATTACCTAGTGAGGTGAAACCAACATGAACACTTGCTGCAGAAGGTCTGATAAAAACAACAACAACAATCAACCCACATGATGCTCTACAGGTATTCTACCTCTCCAGGATTCATTCTTACAAGGCGTCACCATTAAAGCAAGAGTGGTGAGCATCAGCTTCTCAAAATTTGAATGAGTACAATTTTCAAATAGCGAGAATTTAAATTACAATTGTGATGTCTTATTGTGGAAGAGGTGGAAATTTTAGCTGGCTGACTTGACAACTGTAGCAAGAAATTTGACGCAGCCATGGCTAACAAGCCTTCTGTTCTGTGAGGACAAAATTAAATCTCTGCTGTTTTTCAGGATGTGTGTAAGCTCTCTACATGCCAGTACTTTCAGTGCCTGATCAAAGGTAGTTTCTTTGACTAAAAAAAAACAAACAAAAAAAAACTAAGCACCACTAGGTATCATTTATGGTGGGGAAGGTAAAATGGAGGTGGACTGTATGGAATTGTTTTACTTGATTATCAGCGTTTTCTGATTTGAAGTGCTGCAGCATTAACTTGGTAGTAAAGTTAGGTAGGGGAATTTTAGTATTTTATATGAACATAAACTAAACATATTTAGTGACATAAAGTCATTACCTTGAACGCTGTGAATATCTGAAAGGTATTTTTCTATCTGTCTGACTTTATAGAAAAATAAATATATCTTTATGTCTGACATTTTGGAGACCAAACAGCTGATGGCCCTCTTCCTTTCCAGTTCTCTGTTGCCCTTGAGGAGAGCAGGTATAAGAAGTATTACAGGAGGCTGATCAGGGCATCACTTAGGAAACAACAAACCTCTTGCATCCAAAATGAATCTGATTACACACTTGCTACACACCATTTTTCTTTTGTTATTTGCACACCGTCACTGGCACAAGCATAGCTGAAGTGATCTGGACAAGCCAACATTCTGTGGCTCAATTCAACAGCAACATGTAAAGCAACAGGAACGCATGGCCCTACACCAGTCACAGGGTACCATACAGCGTGTGTTATTCAAATCAGTCACATTAATGCTTTAAACATAGCTAAACACATGTTATCTTTGGGTGAAAATATAAAGTACCTTCAGGTTTTGGTGGTATGAAAGCAGCTCATCCTGTCAGTTGTCTTTGTTAGCTAGAGCAGCTACACTATACAGCTGTCAGCAGAAATATTAGGGGGTGTCAGACAGACGTGAAAACTATGCTGCCTTTATCAGTAAATATAAGGCCTCTTTAAAGATTTAGGCTAGAGTAGTAAACAATAGAACAACATTATCTTCATTTTCGACTGCAATTGCTAATTTTTGTCTCCCCAGCCCCTGATTTGCACCGTGAGCAGAGGAAAAGGAGGTGAAGAGTGGCCAAGAAAACAAAACTAAGAAACAATCTACAGTACACTGCAGAGGACATAGCCTCAGGTGAGGATAAGCTGCAGATAAATGGGATTTAATTGGTTTTTGTGTACTTCATGATTTGCTTTGTGGGTTCCCTCTAGCGGAAAGAGATTTATATCTTGATGGGACTACCTGAATAAATCACGGCTCAATTACACACACAGGTCAGAGGTTAGGAGTACCCACCACATGTCCAGGCAGGTGGAGTAGTCTGTGGATCCCAGCAGGACATCTGGAGGCCGGTACCACAGGGTCACCACCTCATTGGAGTAGGTATGGCTGGGGACCGACTTGGCCCTGGCAAGGCCTGGAGGCGGGGGGAGCAACACAACAAGTCAGTCTCGGAAAGCATTATCATTGAATGACCTCCAGCTGGCTTCTGAAAACAAAGCAGACAACTGGAGAGGAGCATTCAGGCTCACTGCAGCAGCTGACATCTGGTTATACAGACAAGACTGTACAGAATGTGTGATATATCGTTACATTTACAGTCCTTTGTGAGAAAAATAAACCGCTGGAGCATACTGTGAGTGCAGGGAACATTAGGAAAACACAAAGCATAGAACATAACATCTCAAATTATGAATTGGCAGATTAACAATATGTGTGAATATATAATATGCAGGAGGACAGAGAGATGCAAAAGCTACAGGTTTTAAGACAATAGCAGACCCTGGAAACTGGCACATTTATGAGTGTATGAATGAATAAAACTGATAGATTTGCTGTTTAAGAAAAGGATATATCTGCTGTGAAGGCTGAATGTGCTCAGCAAATTTAAGATTCTAAAAAACGATCCATTTTTTATGTTGTTAATAACAATATCATTCATCAAAGCTTCACAGACTGAACAGAAAATGCCAGTGTGCTGTGAGAATCGTTTTTTAAAGTCTGACAAAGTGAGTCCCATTTAAGACAGGACTGAAGTGCTACAAACCTGGAGGAAAACTCTGCCATAGTGTCAGTGAGTTAACACAAGACTATCATTTGAGTTTTTCTAACACTTGTGTTTGTTTACAGCTCTTATTTACGTCGCAATTCCTGTTTGCCGTGTATCCATGAATGTATAGATAAGTATCACTGGACTACACAGACACTGAGGGAAACAAAATGTGCTGAAAATATTGTGTATCACATCTGTAACGCTGATTGGACTAAGTTATGCCTTGGAGAAGGAGCACAATTTATTAATCATGACCTGAATATGGTCAGATATGGCAGAAATCCCAGAGAATAATACTGTCAAACAGAATTCACTGGTGGATGTGGATGAGTCGATGAGTGCAGCCTCTGTATGTCGAACTTTACAGACATATTCAGAGTCCACGTTAGCATCACTGCAGCAAGGTCCAAAGTTACATCAGTGAAGGTCAGAAAAAACAAGACTTAATAAGTCTCATAGCATGTCAGGTGGAGGAGAAATAGTGACTTTGACAAGAACCAGATTAGAGTTATACGAGTACCTAACAGTGGTCAGTGGAGGTATAAATGATGAACTGGTGACAGGCTGTAAGGGGATGTGCTAGAACAAGTCTGATCTCTGTAAACCAACCTAGAAACTTGTAGGGCCAAAAGAATCTGCATCTAACATACAAGCCTACAGAGGTCTTGTAGAGTCCATCCCCTCTGAAGTCAGAGCTGTTGTGGTGTAACATGACGGACAGGTGATTGTAATGTTCTGGCTCATCACTGCCATTCAAAATATTTCACAATGAAGTATTTCTTTTCAGACAAAATCCTTGATGTTTAATGTTTGCCTGATGACGGTGATAGTTTAAAGACCGCCTCGTTAAATTCTTTCCACTGCACATCTTTGAAGCAATCGCACTGAAAACTCCTCTTGGCAGAACTGTCTTTAGTCGGATTTCTGTACATTCAACCGCAGCAAGCCAGAGATTGTCTTTTCAAATGGAAATCATGATGGAAGACCTTTGAGGTTTCAGCGAGAAACCATGTGACACGAATATCAGTCAGATGAACCCAGAGGACACAAAACACTTGCTTCCGTCGAGTGAATGGGATATTATTGGACATATTTAAACCAGGGCTATGGGTAATCTTTGGTGAAACTACAGCTACCACCTGCTGTTGTGAAAGACACAAAGAGTGCTGAATTTTAAAAGCTTCTCTAGGGTTTTAATTTTAAGTATGTGTGCTTCTCTGGGTTATTCCAACCCTGTTCTAGCATTTATCTATGTAGTGACACAAACCAGGTCCTCCCATGGAAGCTAATGGTAGAGCAGAGTGCAGATGCAGAGAGCTTTAATGAGGCTGATGGCATTACCTCTTTGTCTCTTCCCAAGTGGTCGAAGGGCTTAATTAAAGCATTTAGCTTAGTAAAAAAAACGGACTTCCTGCCCTGCTGCTACTCCCCTGTGTGTGGGAGGAAGAGGGGCAGAGGAGAATAAATGAGAGGAGGGAGGGAGTATTTAACATTTCCTTGTGTCAGAACACCCACAGGAGAAAGGAGTTTCATCCGACATTCATCACAGCCGAGCTCTGTAATTTTCACGCACTGATCTAACATAGAATAGATGGCATCAGGCCGCGCTCACTGAGAGGCTATCATTTCCACCGCGGGCATCCTGTGTCTGTGTGTGTACGCAGGGGGTGTGAACAGGGACAACACACTGTAATAGTAGGAGGCTGGCCTGTTTGAAGCATGGACAAGAGCAGTATAGAGTAGAAAGAAAGCTTGTCTAGAGAGTCTGGAAAAAGGAACACAAAAGTATGTGGCTTCATACCTATCAACCGTTCCACTAGAAAAAGACTATAATAAAGCCAACAAAGTGACAGAATAAACCTGCCTTGGTTCTGGTTCTGAACAGGTGGAACTTCCATAATATGACCTGCCTTCATGAC